ATGCAGCTACTCTGTTAATGACATTGGGATTGCCTAATTCCATTCTGTGATAGACCAATCTCCAGTGAGCCTTCAAGATTGTCCACATGATGGGAGGTAGCAAGTAGACCTTCCTGATTTGATATATTTAATCCATCCCTTTTTCCTTTTTCCTCCCCCATCCTTCCAAACCACATTTCCCTAAAGTTGAGAAATGCTAGCCTGATGAATTTATTTTTACATTTTCTAAGCCAGGAAAAAGAAAGGAATCTGGATTATTGACATTCTTTACCGGAACTACAGTAGACTAGAGTTAGCAGAAAAAACTGCTAATCATCACAGTTTTCGTGTTGGAAGCAATTTGCCTATAATTAGTAAGTTGATAAATACCAACAAAATGGGTGCTAAAACGAACAACTCTTGTGCTGAGAGACATTTGACTCTACATTACACTTTGCATTTTTATATATGCAGCATTACATTTTGTTACAAAGAGCGACAACTTTAGTGGCAGCTGAAATGCTCTAATCTGTCTTCTGAAGGAAAGCAGACATACATCTTAATATAACAACTTCTTTTATAAAATGTATCTTTTTTGAGGAGTAAGCAATGTAAGGATAAGGAAAGAAGTTGGTGTTTTGTTTATTTTATATAAAATGGTAGCAAAAGACAGAAGACTTGTTTTGCTGGATAATGAAATGGCATAGCATGTAAGATTAAATGGTACCATTGACTTCGGGTGTATCTTCATTGGTAATACCAAATGCATACTTGTTTGTAGATATTTCTTTACTACATTTCGTGTTAAATGATCATTGCATGAAATGTTTCAACTCCATTTAGAATCAGGCTCGTGGTCATTCTTGTTTGATCGAAACAAGGAAAGGTGTGTGGTGTAATAATATGTGAGATAAATGGTTAATTCAAATAAACAAGGCATGGTATATTGTATCTTTAAAATCAAATAAATTTTATGTCTGATATGTTTTAATAAAACGCTAGCTTTTCAAGGGTCTAAATCACAATAGGTATGTTATATGTAATGAATAAAAGAATATGATAGCTTTATCTGTGGTATGCTGAAATTCTGACTCTCATTGTTATCAGAAAAAATACCACAAAATATTCGATCTGATAGAATGAAAGAGATTATTCGAAATAAATTGTGAGGGTGTAAATAAAAAAAAAATTCTTACCAAGCCTTGTTTGTGCTTTTTAAAAGTCTGGTGTTTACAGACACAATTTTAGGAACATTCTTATCTACAACTACTTAGTAGGTAACTTGATTAGCACATGTGGTTCTCTGAGATCTTGCCATATCCTTATACTATCAGATCATGTGGTAAATGGGTTGATTTCTAATTATCAAGCATCTTTTAATATAACCTTTATATTCTTCTATTTAAATACATTTGACTAAGTTTGCTCTTCCTTTCCTTTCAACAGTATACTTTTTCTATTCCTACAGACTGAATGAGACAATAAGAAATGACCACCGGCCAACCAAATGCATGTTTTCCTTCTCCTCTTCAGAACATTCTATAGTGGGTGGTAAAATATTTAAGCCATTTCAAAGTCATGTGAACTATCCCAAATATGTCAATGGAAGAAGAGTCTGCAATTCATTATTTTTCTGCAATGAATCTATAAGAAAGAGAGCATTTTTAAGCCCTAAGTAGCTTTGTTTTCATTTATAGTTCATGTCAGTAATCTACTCCATGAGCATTTTGCTTATTTTAGGTACAGCATGTCTTTGATCAGTAGCAGATTGATCATTAGGCAATAAAAAGGCAGAGATTTTGAGGAGGTGTCTATTGAAGTTGTGAAGTACATGTTCCATCTCATTATTACTATTGATATCGTTATTACTTTTATTAACATTGTTTTCCTTCATAGCCATCCTAGTTGAAACCTGGGCTTTCCTTCGGTAGACACATATGGTTTAAATGATGATTTATTATAAGATGGGTTCAAAATTAATTTTGTAAAAGTAAATTTTTCACGGCATGCTATTTGATAAAAAAGTAAAAATTTTCATATTTAAATTTAACCTTGTAACTCCTTTTGAAAAGCCTTTCTCTTACCTATTTTCCAAAATCAAGAACAATATATTTAAAGAGAGTCTGAGATTAAAGAGTAAATCTATTCAGTTTGGATCTGTTCAATTTTGCTCCCATTTTTCTTCACCAATATTATTTCATTCATTGTGGGTCCTCTTCTTTCCACAGACAACTCATTTAAGAGACAGCAAGTGCCATTTAACCTGTCTTGGTGGAGTATTTATTCCTTTCTGAAAAAAAAGTTACCTAGAGTGAGCTGCAAGTGTCTTTCTTTGTGCTTGGCTTATTCCCAACCTTTTTTTTGCCATTCAAAAACAATGCTGACACATGCATGAAATGACAAATAGCATTAGTGTAATAAAGGAGTTAAACCAAACCCAAAGCACAGTCATATATTAAATTGTTTTTAAAAATACTGACCTAAGCACCTCTATGAGATGTTATTAGTAAAATTTAAAGAAGCAGCAAAAAGACATTTGGAAGTGAGATGTGCTCTCCTTTGTAGCCTGTATAATTGCTGATTTGCCATCATGTTTGCTTGCGATGCCTTTGTCAGATATTATTTCATGTCTCTTTGTCAAAGGAGAGTTTTTGAAGCCTTTTTTCTGCATCTGGGCAACTGCTGTTCAGGGCTCAGACCAAGCCTCCCAGGGTTACAGCAATGTGTCCAAAAAGCTTTGGGTAAAAAAATCTTTTAAGCAGCCCCTCATTTCCACTCACCAGGCCAATGCATATGTTTTACCAAAAGAAAAATTCTAACATTTCAACATTGGCTTCAAACACCATAAGTGTAACTTAGTGATGAATTTTCATTAAGACCTTGTGTTGAATAACATGCTCACCCTATACCGAATGAAATCTAATGCAACTGTTATGTCATCTTCCCTGGTAAGTGGTGATTTTTGAGAATTTGATGATTTATAAGGCTTTCCTAAAAATAGTTGGCATTTCTAAGTAGATACTTCCCAACACATAGTAAGTCTATACCGAGTCCGATGGAGTAAAAAGAAGTTTCTTTTTCACCCCTTTACTTCATCCTGGGAAGGTCATCAAAAATGCTATGGTAAAGCTTTTCATATCAGCAAGCAAAAACAGGAAACGAAATAATTGTAGAACATACAATAATAGGACTATTTTCTGCACAAATCCAACTACAAGGAGAACTATTCAATTAGGCCTCATGGTTACTTTTAATGAGGGTTGTTGTGGAATAAGTGGAAACATCTGTTACCCATGAACCACCACAGTGGCTACACAAGAGAAAAACAGTTCTCTCTTCTATTGATTGGGACTGGTCTTCACGGAACATTCTTATTAGTATGCTTAGAACAACCATGCAAATCTCTAAACCAAATTAATTATTCTTGGCATTCCCAAGAGATAATCCTACAGTCATTTTTTACCAAAGTCAGGGCACAGGGGAACCCTTTTTCTGTACATATTTTACTATGGTTAGGGATGCCTAATTGTCCTACTGTATGCTGCCTTATTTTACCAGCTACAGACTGAATTCATTCCCATTCTCTCCTTAAAAGTTTGAAACCCCCTAGTGACAGGAATATTAATGTGCCAACACTGTCATATCTATTTCAGCTCATACATATGCAATGTCTTTGTTTTCAAAGATTTATGTCAGACTTTGCTGAAGTGAGGTATTCTACCATTTTAGATAATAGCATGCCAAAGTGATGTTATCAGCCACATTCAGCATTCACTCAAGCAAACGGGAGGAGCTTCCTTCATGGCTTCCTTCAAACTCCTCGAAACTGTTATTTATCCTTATTTGATGAGAAAGTCTTTCAGGGGGAAATAGTGTATTTTTAGAAGAAGATTATGGCCATCCTGTGGATTATCTTTTAATTAAGAATGGATGATTTGTGCCCACTCTGCTGTAGCAAACGTCTTGCTGCTAATGAAGTTTAAAAAGACTTACTTTATTTAATTACAGCTAATCACCAGGGTAAAATGTGGAATTTTCTTTGATCCTACATGTATTGTGGTAATCCCTTTGGCAGATAGCATCTCCTCAAAATATTTTTGAGGGTTTTTTTTGGCGGTCATATCTTAGCAGAAGGTGGAACCACCTTACACTGAAGAATTTCTTTCATTCCCTCTGTAGTCACCCAACCTGGCATAAAAACTACATGAAATTTTCTTACAAGTTGAGATGGCCCTTTAGACAGAGAGTGGTGAAGCCTTCATGTATTTGAATCCTTTACTTTGTCTAATATCCAGAATAGAGTTCTTTTCTCTTGTTCAATGATTTAATTCAACTAACATTATTGGGCAGTGTTAACGTGCCCAGCACCAGGCTGACCACTGTGACTAGAAACATACAGAGAACACAGACCTACAATAAACCAACTTTTACAGATGAACCGTGTTCATTTTCTGCTGCATTCATTCCATGTGGACATAAATATGTAAATATGCTGTAAACCCAGGGGTGGCTTTGTCTTTGGTTTAAAACCAGGAATTACTTTGTCTATGCTTTGGTTTGTTTCTAATCACCAGAATACAATCATTTTGCTTACTTGAGCCTTCTAAGATAAAGCAGGGTTCTGCGTTTTATTTTGTTCCTCTATCTTTACCCTTTGGAATATAGGATTGTATATATGTTAACCCATTTATTTCTTCCTGAACCTCAAAGAAAATTCTTTTTAAGAATATATATTAAGCCAGTTCTGATTCTAGGTGATAGCTGTCTCTGAATTTTCATCTTTATAAACACCAGACTTAATCATTCCCACTAAAAGTAAAAAGAAAATCTTGGATAACCTTGCTACACTTGCTCTTTTGATTATAGATTACTTTTTTTTTTTAAGTGCAATCCCATCCCAGAAAACTAATAAGCATGGTTTATGTTTTTAATCTCAAAGGTGTCATCCTATTTTTTTCAAAAAATTACCTTTTTCTCCTTTTTCTGTGTCTTTATCCTATAATCTTCTGTCCTTTTTATCCAGACAATATAGGCTTGTTTGGCATAAAGGCCCTGAAGGGCAAGGTTGGCTCCCTGAGGAAGAGAAGAAAGACTGCCAGTGGGTGGCAGAACAGGGTACCAGCCTGACCTACTCCACCCCAACCGCCCACACTCACTTAGAGATGGGGTCAAAAACAACATCTGAAGAGAATAAATGGACTTTTTTTTTTAAACAAAACCTTCCTGGCAAATGACTATATCTAAACTAATCAAAATGAAAGAATATAGGTCTTGGTACAACTTTTTCATGACTTTACAGTTAACTGGTTTCAAAAATATAAAAACGAACACCCAACATTCCCCCAAACAGATTTCACACCGGGGCACATAATTTTTTTTTTGAAGTAGTGTAAACAATCTATTAAATCATTACTCTTACCGTTTTTAACTTAAGAAGTCATCTGGGCAGAACTACTTGCTACACATCTCCAAATATTTTCTGCTCTGTTTAACAAATGTTTTTCTATGAATTCTTTTGGTTTTCCATGACTCCAGCAGATTTAAAGTAAGTTTGTTGTGAAATCAGTGCAAGGTCTCTATCTCACACCTAGGGTTCCACTATCACACAACAATGAGAACTCTCTCCCATGCCTGCATATGAGGACTTACACAAATCACTCCTGGCATCCTTCACACTGCTCCGCACCCAGGGGGGTAATCTCTGTGCTACTTCACCCAGAACTCCCCTCATCCTAGCATTTAGACTTAGAACTCCCGTCATTCGGCATTTAGACTTACGAAGTAATTAAGATGAGAGGAAGTTCTTCAAAGTGCAATTCGTGTCTTAAAAAAATTAAACATTATAAAGTTGGAGAAGCAAAACAGAAGTTAGTTCCTGTAATATATTAAACATCTGCAGTTTTGTCTCTTTATCGGGATGTGGGGTTGTGCTGAAGTCACATCCTGATAACATCTGCACATTACTGATAGCTTTTGCTTTATTCTTTCTGGTCCGTTGATGAGAGATTCTTTAACATCCCTTCAGTCATCAAGACCCCAGTTGAATTTCTTTGCTTGTGACAGCCTTAAAGGTGGTCTCATTTACATTTGCGAAAATGTCACAATATAGAAAGATATTTTCAGTTTGATGTTTCATCCCTTCCTTTTTTTATCCGGATGCTAGTTTTAGCTTTTCAAATGAATGTCGATCTCAAAATAGATTTTCCATGAAATATATTTTGTCTGATTTTTGAAACACCATGTCTACAGCAGAAGATTTTTTTCCCAAAAAAAAAAAGTTTTCAGTGATGGATGGCACCTCTGTTTCTGCTTTGCGCTGTGGGAACAGCTGCGCACCAAGTAGGGGCTAGCTGGTGTGACACCCAGTAACACAGCTTGCACCCGCTATTGGACAAGGTCAGGTATTGACCGGATCCCTAATGACCCCAATTACATCTGAGCTGAGTAAACAGTCAATAAACAATGACATTAACCTCTGTAGAAAAAGCATTTATTTTGCATTTCCAAGATGATTGGCAACACCCTCTGCAGCTCCAGGAAGTCTCTGAGATTCTAGAGGCTTTCAAAGAAGATGGGACCATGAAAAGTAACATAGAACATCCATCTAAATAATCTTAAGGTAGCTAGAAAGTTCATTCATAATGTTGAATACATCTTTTTTGATGCAGACAGCCAATGGTTAATTGGCATTCTTTTTAAGAGTTGGATTCTTATTCATAAATCATACCCTTTTATTAATTTCAAAATATTTGGGGGATTTTTCTATATATTATTGACCTCTAATATAAATCTGTTGTGATTAGAGAATATACTCTGTACAATTTTTTTAAAGAAATAAATCATTTACTTTTTCTGTCTATGCTATTGACTCTCGTGATCCTCGTGGTCAGCTTTCCATATGTACTTGAAAGAATGTGTATTCTGCCATGTTGGGTGGGTGGAATGTTTTACAAAATACTGTTTGTGCCAAAAGTTTTGATAGAACTATCCAAATTTTCTACATCCTTACTGATATTTTTTGTCTATATGTTCTATCAATTATTGAGAGTGGAGTATTAAAAATGTCCAACTACAACTGTGGATTTAAGTACATCTTTGCTTTGCAGATTTTGAGACTCTTTTATTAGATGAATACACATGTAAGATCTTTTCCTGATAAACTGACCCTGTTATCATTATGAAATGCCCTCTTTATTTCTGGCAGTACTCCTTGTCTTGAAGTCACTTAGTCTGATATTAATATAACCACACAGCTAGGAAACACAGATTTTATTTTTAAGTGTCTGGCTACATTGTGGGTCAGATATTTAGAAAGAGTGCATCAGCTTACCTGTCACCTTGCATTCCCACAAATATCAACCACAGGGCCAGATTTATCCTTTCTCATTGGTAAGACATAGCCTTCTGAGACGGGAGCAGCTAGAGAAGGAGAAATTAAACTAAATGAAAAATGAGTGAGAATATGATACAAAATAAATCTGAATATAATCTTTATTACCTAGAACACTTCAATCTGTAATTTTTATAATTATTTTAATATTCTCTAAAATTTTGAACTAATTATGAGCTGCTGTGGGTTGACTAGTATCGCCCAAAACTCATATCCACTCAGAACCTCAGAACATGACCTTCTTTGGAAAGGGGGCATAGATATACCTGATTTTCCCCTATTCCCTTAGATAACATTCTTCTTTCCTTTAAGCTCATGCAGAGAAATATTTTTATGAATTAAAAAAAATACTACTATACAGTGTTTTCACACTCTTATAGTAATTCCACTTCAAGTTTAGCCAAAGAAGTATATTAAAAGTCAAGCGACCTTGATATATGTAAGAGAGAAATCATAAAACTATAATATTGACAACAATACTAAAAAAGTACAAGTCACTTTTAGAGACCTCCCAATTTTGTAGGGGAAATCTCTTCAAAGTAGATTTTCAAGGTAATATATCTAGAATATGTAGAACACAAGTTCCCAAATTTCAGGAGGATCACCTGGCCCAATTCCCCAGTTTCTAGAAAATTCTGGTTTTTCATGAGTAATTAACGGACATAGCAAACTTCTCGACATAACCTTGTCTTGTCAATTTTTCATTGCACCTAGTGGGAAACAGAAAGGCTAGAGTTGCCCTATTAGTGCTGCTGCTGCAGTGTTGATTCTGGCTTCTCAGCACAGCACAACCCCCTGAACGATGAGAAAGCTGGCGAAGTCTGCTGTCCAGTTTCCTTCCAAATCCATTTTCTGTCACGACCCTTATCAAATAAAGCTCACACTTCAGTTATGAGTATGTGTCTGTGTTAGGTATGTAGTCCACATGTCTTTCACCTCGTAATCACTTGGATTAACTCTTGGATTTTGCTCTCATGTGAGTAATTGAGATCTCCTAATACCAGAACTTGCCAACTACAATCACCATTCCTGGACTTGATTTTGAGGTAGTAGGCAAATTCTTTCAAGGACTCAGAATCTATAGCCTATATTTGTGATTCTGTCAAGACAGTCTAAATGCAATCCTCTGAAGTTTAATTGGGGTTCTAAACAAACCTACAGATATTCTGGAAGATAAATTACTTGTGTTTTCCTGATTCTTTTATTAGAACATTTATATCATATGCTCTGTCTTTTACTGTGATATGTGGCGATTTGTTCTAATCTAAATACTACTTTTTCCCCTTTAGGTTGCTTGTTTCAAACACAATACTCACAGATTTTGATTGCAAATTTTCCATCTCTATTGACAATGTCCTATTTGACATCTTCTCTTTCCCAGGTTCCTTTGACCTCATCCATAGTCTCCTGATCTCTTCCCACTTCTCTGATTACTCCTGATTCTTTCTCTGCATTTCCTTTTTTTTTCCCTCTCCTCTAAGATTAGGATTCCTCTCATAGACCTCTCTCTAAGCTATTTTCTCCCTTTTATAGTTTTTATTTGGGGACACCTCAATGCAGATGACTCTCAAATCTATACAATGGTCAAAAACTCAACTATTCTTCCTTATACATCTTTTCTACTTGTGCTTCATATTTCTCTAAAGTATATATTTCAACAAGCCTCAGAACCTCATTCATCTCTTTATAACTGCTCATTCCCTTACATACAGCTTTTACATTCTGTAGCATAACCTCCAAATACTTTTTGAAAGCATTCCTTTCTCCCCATTTTTATTGCTAAGTTCATATTGCCAGCAGTGTACAATGTCATTCACCCCCTCCAGAAATGTGTATGTAGATAGATAGATAGATAGATAGATAGATACAGATATAGATATAGATAGATATATAGATGCAAAAAATACATAAATTTAGTATAAATGTTATTAAAATAAAAGATGTATAGCACACAACTTAAAAATTATAATAAAATCTATATTATTCTTTGTTATAAATTTTACAGGTTCAATTCATTCTCACACAATGCACTTGTTGATTTTCACCAAACTCTCATACCAACAGCTAACCAATCTATGGTTGCACAGATGAAGTTCTGATGTAAATATTCTGAAATAATAAAGGCATATGTTGGAACTTTACTCACTCAATAATAACATGGGCAACTTCTGGAAAAAATTATTTATTAGAAAAAACATATGGGCATGCTAGGTGACTCAGTTTAAGTGTCTGACTCTTGTCCATGATCCATGGTTCATGGGACCAGGCCTTGCATTGGGTTCTGCACTGACAGTGGCGGAGCCTGCTTGGGATTCTCTCTCTCCCTCTCTCTGTCCCTCACCCACTTGTACTTTCTCTCTCTCAAAATAAATAAGTAAATCTTAAAAAAAGGGAAAAGTATTCTATGAATTTTTGTGGTGTTCACAATGGAAGTACCATAGGCATGACATAATTTTAAGTTTAATCTGCATTATTATAATTTTCTTCATGACTTTCTTAAATCTAGACAATAAGCACAACAAAAAATCAAGTCATGATTGCAGCATTTGCCAATCACCGTAGTGTAAACAGTCTGTCATGACTAATTTCAAGCTACTACCATAAGTTCACTAAAATCGAGTTGGGAAGAGATATGCTATAGTATACAATTTTATCTTATGTGCCCAGTGCAGATATGTGTAAACCTCAAATGCACAGACAATAGTAAAATAAGTATTAAGTGAGTGATTTTGAGTACTTATCACCTTTACTTTTAATAGAAATTATTTAATTGTAAGTTTACATAATTTAGCTTTTAATAATGATTGTATATAAAAACTGCCTCTCAAAATTCCTGAAAACTTAGCAACTGGCTCTCACTAGCAGGTACAAGCTGGCTCCACAGTAGCAGTGCTTATTGTTCATCTAGCCTATGCAATGATTTCCTAACTAGTTTTCTTTTCCTTCCATGAAACCTTTTCACATATAGTTTTAGATGACATGTAGATGTGGATGCACAATTTCTATTCAAACACTCAGAATATTTCCCATTCGTAAGAGAATAAAGCCTGAACTTTCGACTGACATTTGGGAATCTAGATCTGGACCTGGCAAATAGCCCTCATCACTCAACTTCCTGTTACAGTTCACTTTACCCACACTAAATTCTCACTGTGTCCAAGATTCTTTTTATATTCTTAAACTGTACTTTTAGCCAGCGATGTTTTTCTCTCCATGTTTGCATGTTCAAATCATATACATACCACAAGATCATTTAAAAGTTCAGATTCATGTGTGAATTTTCCCCCTCTTTCTCTCTATCTGGAAATAACTTATCCCTTTGCTCTCTCATTACAACACTCATTTTTTCTACCTCGTTTTCACTTTTACTGCATTTTTTATGTGTAAGGGAATATTTTCATTACTGGGAATATTAAAGGAAATATAGTCTCTCTGTTTTAATGAAACTCAGTTTACAGAGGGAGATAGAAAATCCGTGATTATAATAGATTATGTTCACTCTATAGTAAAGGAATGTACCTTAGGCTAAGAGCCAAGCAGAGAAAAAGGGAAAAACATTGTAAGAGGCTCAACAAATCCTGTCTGTCTCATGTCCTGAAGGAAGACAGTATATCTGATGCACAGATATGGCAGGAGTGAAGGGCACCTAAAGGTAAGAGGCAAGAAGCAAAGTATGAAAGCTAGGCATAAACCTTCTATGACAACAAGCTTGAACTTCATTCTGTAGGAAATTAGGAACTTTCAAATGATTTTAAGTAACTATCACTTTGACAGCAGTATGGAGGATGGATTGAAAAGACTAAAGATGGGGAAGGGAAGACCAGACAGAAGTCTTCTGAAGCAATTTGAGGGAGAAACGCTAAAGCACTGAATTCAAGTAGTGACAGACAAGTGGGAACTTAATTCCAAATATGATTATTTAGTGACTGGACATGTGAGTGAGAAGGAAGAGTCAAATAACATAGTTTATGTCTTTGTTCAATGGATCAGCAGCGATATATTTTATTTTAATAGGTAGGATAATCATATAATTGATCATCCAAGCCAAGATAGATTTAAGAGCTGAAGAGGATGCTAAAAATAATGGAAGTTGTAGAATTTTAAAATTGATTTGCTTTGGCTAACTAACTGTTCTTATTTTATTGGTGGGACTATGTAGTAGATCTGCTCAAAAAAATAAATTTCCAAAATAAAAGTATTTCTAAAACAATACCGTTTCTATTTTGATACATAGAATATATCAGCTTGTTTGGAAATAGCTGTGAGTTATATGTGTGCCACGACCAAATCTGCATATATATCTGCTCCATAACTTTCTTAGTTTGTTAAAAACATTGTTTTTAGTATGATGCCACACTACTCCAAAATTTCTTTTTTATGATCACTGGAAGAACAAATAATTTTATCCTCAGTGTTGCCCTTTGTAAAGAATTTGCAGTTCCGTTTCCAGTAATGTCATGCATTTCATCTATGACAAAATGTGCTTCCAAAAGTTTTACTTGGATTCTGTAAATTAAATGAGGGAAAACATTAAACCACTTTTGGAATTAATTTTCTACTTGAACTATCTGATAACACTGGCATAAAATTGACATCATCTAACACTTTATGGAGGGTTTTTTCCTACTAATGGGTCAAAAATAAAAGCAAAACCTCATTTTTTTGTGTGTAAAAGAAACCTTGGAATCAAAATAAGTGAAATTAACTGAAAGGAGCTGTCATCTGATCTAAATGAAAACGCATGTTTCAAAGAGTGATATATAAACACACTGACTATATATGCAAATGTTAAATAGTTTACTTTGGACTCTGCCTCCAAAAGACATTTCTTTTGTAGTATATACTGACGGTGCTTAGCAAATTGTCATATTTTATTTACACGTACAGTTATATCCGTTTAGGATAGTGGATAGTAAATGTCACTTAACCTTTTGTGCAAGTCATATAGTCAACATGAAAATATATTTGAGATATGGTGTTTAATTGTTCACCAAACATGCACTTTTGTTTTTTCAATAATTTTTTGCTTAAGAAAAAATGTATTGCAAAATATAAAAGTATTGCCAAAAATGAAAACTATTGAACAGTTAGAAATTTGCACCATATATTAAATACCAAAATCATTCTAGCAAGACTGTTTAAATTATTCTTTATGTTTTCCATGGCAGTCTATACTCAACCTTTATTACCTGCTTTTCTTTCATGTATACACAAACTATAATTTCCCATTTTCTCATTGAATTAACCGGTTGATGACTCTGTGAATCTCACAGACCATCATTTGGACCCCGGCACAACTGGTTAGTATACCAAGAACCATCAGAGGCATCAGAGGAGAACACCCCTTTCATTACCACATGGGTGCCACATGGAATTAGCTGCTTTGGATGAAATCGGAGGTTAGTCGCACTCTGTCCGGAAAAAGCTAGGAAGAGTGACAGAATATAAATTCTTTTCACTTTACATACTCACCTTACATACTCGCACATTACTGGATAAGAACATGGCAGAAGCTAGTGGAATTCTACTAAGCTCATGTAAGACTAGTTTAATTCAACTACTAATAATAGTCCATCAAAAATAAAACATTGGAAACAAATATGAAACTAGACAGGATGCTGGGCAAACAGGAACAAATTGTAGCAGTTCCAGGAAAACTGGGATATAGAGTCACCCTAATACTAAGTCTGCATCCAATAGCCAAATAAATTGATTTGAATTCCCAAATTACATCTTGTTTTCAGACTATGTGTGGGCACACATTTTATTAAAGTGTGATACTGCTGGCAGTTTTCAGATTTTAATTTTCTATTCCAAATTCCAAGATGTCCTTTTTTGTATCCATGATTTGGACTCAAATGAAACTAATATTTGCCAATATTCACCATGGCCTTTACTGTGTATTTTTAAAAAATTCACTTCTTCTGCCATGTTAAAGAATACTGGCAGAGGTACAAATTTTAGAGGGAAGATGATTTCAGCTGTGAGCATATCAGAAGTGAGGTGTCTAAGAGACAACCATGGAAAATTAAGTAAGAAGATGGATATATGGATCTGGAGCTCAGGAAAGAACTCTGTGCTAAAAATACAGATTTGGGAATCAAACTTATAAGAGGTTATTTGAAAACACAGGTGTAAGTAGCATGTTTCCAGGGAGACTGGATGGAGATGGCTCAGTGTAGAACACTGAGAAACAATATATGTTTATATATATATCAAAAGGCCCTAGTACTGCAGGATCCAGTTTTACCTTAGTTATTTACCAAATCTGCAGTAAACATTACTCACAACTGTTCTCTCTAGGTGTGCCCCCTGAATGTGTTTTACCACATAATTACACTCCTGGCCATGAGGGCAAAGCCACCTCTTGGGACAAAGCATCTATTTTGAGCCAATTAGAATCACATACAGTTAAGTGTAATTGGATTGCAATGTCTAAATTCCAAGATGGTAGACCAGCCATATTCTCTGTCTAGTGAGGAGAAAGAACACAAGTGCAAAGGCAAAGACATGACACATGGAAATTGACCACTTTGTGGGCTTCTTGCTACAGACTCTTCCATTCTTGGGTCAGCCCTTAACTTATAACTGTCAATCAAGTATTTTCTACAATTGTTAATCAAGCACTATTAGCCATGTGCCAGGTACTGAGAGGGTAGTCATGGCCCCAGTACTAAAGGAATAAGTTCCATGGCCTCTTGAAGCATCTCTTCCTGAGGTTTGGTATACTCCCTTGCTTAGAATGCCATATCCCCTTATAATAAATCTCCCCTGGATTTAATGTTAACTTTAGCTGGTTTCTGTTGACACAAATCAAAGCCCAAGCCTTTATATGGCTAATATTTGTACCTTCCTCCGAACAAATCATGGTATCTTATACTACATCTCTCATTGATAATCAATAAATGTTTGTGTAATTAGTGACTTAATTAAATAATTGCTATCTATTTTTAATAATTCCATAATGCCTACAATAACTCTAGTGTTACCTTCTAGGAGCAAGGGGCAAGGCATTCTGTGACAAAATATTGCTTCTTCCAGCATCCAATCAGGTGTCTGGCCTCTTTTTTTTTTTTTTTTTTTTTTTGAGAGAGAGAGAAAGAAACAGAGAGGGCACTTGCGTGGGGTGGAGGGACAGAGGAAGAAGGAAAGAGAGAATATCAGGCAGGCTCCATGCTGTCAAGTGCTGTCAGCACAGAGCCTGACTCAGGGCTCGATCTCATAACGGTGAGATCATGACCTGAGCCAAAATTCAGTCAGTCACTCAACCAGCTGAGCTACCCAAGCACTCCAGCCTACCTCTAATCAGAGTCTCCTAGCTTGTTTACCTCAGGAAGAACTAAATCCCTTAAGCCAAGAAATTCTGAAAAGCAGATTGACATCAAACTTGTTTGCAAGTTCCAAAGTAGACGTTTCAAGTGGGTGGCTCTGCTTTTCCTATGGGAAAGCCATATATAAAATTTCTTACTGTATTAATTTATTGTTAGTTATCTTTGAGGATAGCTTTGTACGACAGTCCCAATCCCATGCTTTGATTTGTGACTTACCATGGACTCCACACAATAGGAGAAGCTGCTTCATATCTGTGCATTCAGGTGTCAAAATGTAAATTAAAGATAGCTATTATATCTTCTCTGCAGAATCTCTAGTATAATACTTTGTTCTTCAAACGTAAACATATCACTGATGAATCATTTGTAGATTATATTCTTTGAATCCAATTCCGGTGGAATCGAGTCAAGACTGAATTCTACATTCCATCTGGCAATGAGAAGGTAATTGAATCCATGAAATTTTCAATGCTGTCTTCTATGTTCCCAACCTTCTTTTTATGTTCCTCTTTCCTCATCTCAATGGTACGTCCATCCACATTGCAGAAACATTGAGTTTTCTAAGTTTCTTTCTACTATCTTTCCCACCACATTCACTCATCAAAAGGAAGAGATCTAATATCTGCCATTTATAGATGTTAACTGATTGATTGACTGATGACACTTGAGTGTGAATGAGTTTCTGTAAATCCCTAACCATAGTCAGGCTTGTGTATTTTAAGCCTTTTGTCTCTAATTATGGAAAGTAAGACTGTATTCCTGTTAAAGAAATTTCAGGCAGTTGCAAGAAGAAAGGCTAGAATGCTTCTGTAAGGTAGGGCCTACACTAAAGGTAAATCTGCTTGACTCCCTTTAGGATAATTGTACATACATTCAAAAAGGACATGAGGTCCTCCTTGAAATGGTTTCTTAAACACTTAAGAGGAGTGGATGCAGGAGGGGCTGAAGATGTTTGTTCCTGGGTGACTGGTTGCAACTATCTTCTGACTTCTCTCCAAGCTTGCAGCCATCCTGCCCAGGACAAGTGGGTATGCTGACATCTCTTCTATGGGGGCTTCACTTAATTCCAAATCAGGTAAGACAATGATGCTAGAAGGCAAGCCCACTAGAGCATAGTAAGTAATCAGAAAAGGAGCCAGAGGTAGCCTATGGTGTGAGTTAAGACCAGCAGTCAGCCCCATGATCATACTCCAAACAAACTTCCAATTATAAAATAAATAAGGCACAGGGATTAAAAGTACAGCATAGGAAATGTAGTGAATAACATTGTAATAACATTGTATGGTGACAGATGGAGAAACTTATCATGGTGAGCATTGAGTAATGTATAGAATTGTCCAATTACTATATTGTATATCTAAAACTAATGTAACACTATATGTCAACCATACTTCAATAATACATTTTTTAAAAGATGGTGAGTGGAGATTTCAACTCTCTGGATTGATAAGATGCTCCAGGAGCTTAGAACAAACATCAGGTGGAAGCCCAAGTCATCAGCAGAAAGAAGTGAAGGTACTGTCTTAAAGATCAGAGTCCCAGGCAAAACTGTGGTCTTTGGAAATAACAGGGCAGAATGAAAATCCTGGTTTGGGAACCAAGACTAGATGAATCACCAAGATTCTAGTTCCAAAAAATAGTTACTACCCTCAGACTAAGATGAGAAGTTCCCCTACTCTGATTCCTGTATTTGGAGAATGTTTCTGGGGCCTTCCTCCAGCCATGCTACATCCTATGGAATAGGGAGTACGTTATGCTAAGAAGACATGCCCATCTAAAGCTTGCACTCAACATTCTAAACTCTGCTCAGGGCACCTGGGTGGCTCAGTCGGTTAAGCCTCTGACTTTGGCTCAGGTCATGATCTCACAGTTAGTGGGCTTGAGACCCGCGTCAGGCTCTGTGCTGTCAGCTAGCTCAGAGCCTGGAGCCTGCTCCTGATTCTGTCTCCCTCTCTCTCTGACCCTTCCCTGCTCATGCTGCCTCTCTCTCTCTCTCTCTCTCTCTCAGAAATAAATTAAAAAAAACACACACACATTAAAAACTTTAAACTCTGCTCAAATGACCCTGAGCTTGCTTCTAGGGCCTGAATAGGCCTTTTCCTTGTCCATTTCCTCAGTAACTAACAGCACCAACTATGTGATCACCATGAGACTACAAGGTAGTTCTGGGAAAGAGAGAAGATGGACAGAATTGGCATTTGGACATGTGGCTATAACACCTGCATATGTGCACACAAGACCCCTTGAAGGTATAGAGAATGAAGCTGCAAGTGAAAAGAGAAGGAAAATGACCAGGGAACTTTCATTTATACAGAAGCTTGGTGCTTCTTGAACCACCCTGACCAAAGGAGAAACTGACCCCAAAGCATGAAGTCTTCTTGAACTTCCAGGTAAGAATTAAGAGGTACATTCACAAGGTTAATGGACTCCAAAGGTAAAGAATTCAATAAATTATTCCCACCATAGCTGAAGAATAAATATCCTACTATACTTTCTTTTTCTAATCATAGCCTTTTCTTAAACAAATAACCATAATTATCAAATGTATAGGGTTTTCTTTAATTAGTGCTGAATGTGTTTGAAAAATTCCAGTTTGGAGTTTGCAAATTCAAATACCTTAGGGCTCAGGAGTGGGAAGAGCCTGTAGTAGCTTCAGGGTACAGGAATCACTCCATGGCATTTACATTCTGAATACAAAAATAAAAGACTATTTGAAGACAGAAAAAAAATTTTTTTTCAGTGAATAGGGAGAATTTAGGCCCACTGGTTTACCACCTCTAAATAAAACTTCCCCTTCTTAATTTCCTAAAATATATCTCAATGCTTTCATCAGCATTTCTAGAAATAAACTTTCTGTCCAAAAAAGACTGTTATTAGAACATATATTTTCATTAATTAGCATAATGTATGATTTGTGTTCCTAGTTTACCACGCTTCTCATTACTAAATCTACCAGAAAAGGTATACGTTTACCAAGAATGTTGTTCCCAATCCTATATCTATTTGTGAGATACTATGTTCTATATGTTCTAGAATTAGTCTGGATAAAACACACACACACACACACACACACACACACACACACACACACACACCTCCTTGCTTTGATATAAATGGTTTTCCCCACAAGTAGATGGGTATTTTGAAATCACACCAGATATATTTAATATATAAGATTGGTCACTTAGTAACTTGGTTCATAGAGAAAAGATAAGAAGTACAATTATTACATAATAAAATCAAAATTTAGGATCCAAACAATACACAGTTAGTGTTGCCAATTTCAATTTAATCACTTTAGGAGGACACCTATTCCACTGCTAAGAATATTTTTGGAAATCTTCTTTTGGGAATTTTTGGGTACCTTTGGTACAAATCCTTTGAAATATCCTTAGAGATGATGCATCTTCACCAATTGAGGTCAGATTTTATTTTTAGAGAGAGCAAAAAGTCAATCAAAGGCAAGTCTGCTGTATGAAATAAGTGATCAAGCTGAGTTGTTCCACTTCTAATCAAAATCAAAGTATGCTTATAAATCCTAGGGTGGTGTGTTTATGTGGCTTTATAAGTGTCTACTGGCATTGAAGATAATTTTAGATAAAAGTTACAAATATGTTTACAGTATCATTAGAATATGTGATTAGGATATATAGCTTTTAATATATATGTGTGTATATATATATATATATATATATATATATATATAAAGTAGAAAGACATTTTTTTTCTCATTAAACACCAAAATGAATTCTAAGGGGTATTAAAAATGTGGTTTTTTTTAAATTAAATCACAGATATCCAGAAGAAATTATAGATGATTAGCCAACATCATAGCAACAAAGTAAGAACCTATAAGGAATACATTGATATAATTGATAGTTGAAAACCTAATACATTTGAAAACAATGTAAAAATACAACAAATGGAATAAAGATGTGTAGTACATTCACATGTTTTAAAAATGGATTCTTTTTTCACATCAGAAAAAAAACTCACATTGCTATACTAATGAAAAGAAAGAAGCACTCTCCCAGGCTCTGGGAGCATCAAGTGGCACAACTTTGTTCCAGGGAAAATTGGTCATATGTAAGAAGTGCCTGAAAAACATGTATACTCTTTGACCTAATAAGTTAAGTTGTAAGAATTTATCTTAAGAAAGTTGTTATAAATCTGTACAAAATTTATATTCAAGGAAATTCTCTGGACTACTGAAAGAGAAGAAAATAATCTGATACCTAGTTATAGAGGATTAAATTAGTAAATTTAGGTATTTCTATATAACAGAACAAATAATGACAGGAAAATGTTGTCAAACAATAACACACCTATAGCCATTTTACTTCCTTAGACAGACAGTTACTCTATTTTCCAATACTCTTAATCCAATCATCTAATGAAGAACAGACCATTGGCAGTATGTGTATGTGCGTGTGTGTGTGTGTGTGTGTGTGTGTGTGTGTCACAGATTTCTGCTTTTGAAACACTCTATGCTGGCTATATTGTAAGCTCTTGATTTCTGGGGAAAAATGTCATCTCTGTTTATGGAGTTTTTCTCACCGGCAATGCCATATACACTTTAGGCCATCTTGGAACAAAGATGCACAAGTATATTGCTTGCTGCTCACACAGATCTACCTTCTTTCATGGGCACATTATGTGTTTTTATGCTTTTCTTTTAAGAGATGAGGTTTCTGCTTTCTGAGACACTCAGAGTGGGTGATTTAAAGCTGTGTTTATCACTTCAGAACGGAGTGTTTTTAATGACAATTTAAATCATAGAGAACACCATCCAACCTACTCATACCCTTTCTATACCAGATGACCACTTAAGCCCTGTCTTTCTGCAGATCTTTGCACCTTTTCACATGTATTTTCTTTTAGTTAAATCTAAGAATATGATTTTGATTGTTCATTTATTTTTGTATGTTAAAGCTCAAGCTCCTTCATCATATTTCAGGGTTGTTTAATAGCTTATAGAGATTAAAATATCTTCAGTGAAATAACTCATCCTGGATTCAGCTACATAACAGAGGGTATTTTCTGAGTTCTTGAGAAGAAAATCCCCCAGAGAGTAACTTCTAGACATGATGGTATGTCTCAACTGGGGAAAAAAATGGATTTTTTAAGTTAAAAAGAGGCTACTGAAAAAGGGATGATACTGAAATACTGGATATTTTTTAAAGTTCTATTTTTTTTAAAAAAAATAATCACATTTTATATGATTTTTCAAAAATGCTGATAAACTGATTTCTTTCATAGATAAAATAATTGTAATCATGAGATTTATATTGTGGA